TTAAATTTATAAAATTTATAAAAATTAAAATTAAAAATAAAAAACCACTATCCTAGAGTAGCCAACCAAAGGATATAAAAAATTATGAAGGGATAACAGTACTATATAGTACAGTAATATCAATAAATCACTCACAGTTCGCATAACATATAAATTGAAGGCAAAATGGCAATCCTTTCCTTCCAGACTCATCTTTCTCAAACTTCATGAAGTTTGAAGGGCTGAAGAAGTGTCGACGTTTAGGGCCTATTTGCTCTGTACATACAGATGCAATATGGCAAAAATATTCATAGTTCATCTGCAAGATGACAAATCACAGCACGTGTCATGTGGTGAAGACTGATAATACCACGATATGTGAACAAGAAAAATACATCAAAAGTTCATCAACAAAGAGTAACTCATAAAGCTCTTTTAATTGGTTCCTGAAAAAAAGAGAAGCTCAATCCACAACTTGCTATAAATTGGGTAAGAAACCAAATGAAAAGGAAGTTTAAGATGGCTAGGCACAAGACCCTTTCTGCACCAGTGGCATCTTCAATCACACAATTTTCTCTTAAACAAACCCACATTGCATCCAGATCATCAGCATTTAGCAGAAGATCTGACTGCTTCTGCAAAAATGAATCAAGAATGTGAATGAAAATTAAAGCAGATCATCACAAACTTTTGTAATCTGTAATCAAAACAAGTACTTAAACAGTTGTACCTTTAGAAATCAATATTTTGGCAGCCTCTGAACCCTGTGACTGATGGATCCTTCTTCAGGTTTCTGAAATTGAGAGAAAATATAAATAATAGAGTTAAGATACACTCTTTCATCACTGCTTATGTAAATGCATAAAAAGATAATCTGTGAAACCAGTGAGAAAAAATGTGCCAAAGTGTTGAACAAATCCTTTGCATGTAGTTCTTCTTTATATACCTAAGCCTCTAAAGTACCCACAAAAAAAAGAGCATTACGTTAGAATTTTACTGAAGATTGAAAAATTCACTTCAATTTAAAGTACCAAGTATTTATTTGCCAGCAATTCAGCCAAAAAAATGTTCTGCAGGAAAATCCCATGAATCAGTGCATCCAATTCATGCATAAGCACTTGAAGTAGCAGCAAATTAAGATTTTTTTACCACAAAGATGTACTATCATGTAAGCACTATAACTGCCTTTCTCTAATAGAAGCTGTACCAGGGAAATTTCCAAAAAACAATACCCAGGCACAAACACCTCCAAAATAACTAATTTCAATCACGCCACATGATTTGACCAAAGATTCAAATGCTAAAGAAGAAATTTCAAACCCAAATATTTCAAGCATTCTCTTCCCTCCCTCATCATACTGAAAACACAATGAACTAAGCTAACTGATAGTAAATAAGGTTCATTCAGAACACAAATTTTCACTTCCTCCTCTAAACATGACAGTTGAGCAGAAACATAACTAAAATGTACTTTCAATGGAAAACAGCTCCAACCCCACTAAGTCACTTCATAAATCAACTCATGCAAACTGCAAACAGATAAGCTATGTCTCGAATTAATCACAATCACCAGTCCAACATTAG